GCTATAGGCGCCGAGCCACCAATTATAAATTAATGAATCTTTGTACACACCTATAGTCTGTAAACCCCCCCTTCAACCCAGCTGTTCCGCCTTTTGGGGCCAAAGCAACATATACCTTCCATGTACTAATGTATGATTTTACCTGCAATTCCAGTCTTCCTAAAATGTATAAAACCAAGCTGTAACCAAGCTGCTTGAGGGCCACTCACCCAAGACTTTTTGGATGTAGCTCCCCAGCCCATAGTCACACATACATGATTCCAAATAAATGTTCTTTAAATTAGCTCTGTGCCCATAGCTCAGTGGTTAGGGCGCAGCCACATACACCAATACTGGAGTTTTTGAACCCAGCCCAGGCCTACTAAACAACAATGACAACTACAATGAAAAAATAGATGGGCGTTGTGGCGGGCACCTGTAGTCCCAGCTAACTGGGAGGCTGAGGCAAGAGAATCACTTAAGCCCAAGAGCTTGAGGTTGCTGTAAGCTGTGTTGCCATGGCACTCTACCAAGGTTGACATAGTGAGACTATCTCAAAAAAAAAAAAAAAAATCATTTTACAGAATTTAGGGGATTTTTTTCACATTAACAAGACTTTTAATTTAAAATACTCCATATATCAAGGAGTCATATTTTGGGATGAAATTTCCTTCAAGCATATGGTTAGTAATGGAGAAAAAAGTGCATTCAGATGTATCCCAGTGCCATATGACATGTTTAATTCCTGGTGTGTGTGCAAGTTTAAGAACTTGGAAAGAAGAAGTGGGTAATTCTTTCAGCTGCTGGAGGAAATTAAAGGAAAATATTCACATAAATATGATAATTGAGCTTAATTTTGTAGTCCAAATGTGACTTAGGGGGTGGAAATTTGTTTTTGTTTTTGTTTTTTTTTTGCTTTGTTTTTTTAATCTTCTTGTTTCTTTTTTTTTTTTAATTTCAGGTTAATGTGAGAGTACAAACCACTAGGTTACAATATTCAGATGTGACAGGGAGAGTCCCCCTTAATAGTTGTGTCCAGTGCCCAAAAGGTCTGCCAACATCCTTACATTGTGTCCATTAAGTGGGAGCACACACTGGGCGGCGCCTGTGGCTCAGTGGGTAGGGCACCAGCCCCATATCCAAAGGGTGACAGGTTCGAACCCGGCCCCAGCCAGCTAAAACAGCAGTGGCAACTGCAACAAAAATAGCCCGGGGTTATGGCGAGTGCCTGTAGTCCCAGCAACTCAGGAGCCTGAGGCAAGAGAATGGCCCTAGCCCAAGAGCTGGAGGTTGCTGTGAGCTGTGACGCTACTGAGGGTGACAAAGTGAAACTCTGTCTCAAAAAAAAAAAAAAGTGGGAGCACACCAATCCCCTCCCCTTCTCCTCTGTCCCCACTCTCATTTCCCCTCCTCCCAAATTGAATTGAATTGAGCTTTTCTTTTATGTGGGCATGTGTTTGATCGTCTACTGGCTTTGTATTAATATTGAGTACGTTGGATATTTGTTCTCCATTCTTGTGATACTTTACTAAGAATGTATTTCAGCTCTGTCCAGGTTAATACAAAAGGTTTGGGTGGAAGTCTGAAGAAGGGAGAGTAGCAAACCCAGAGGGCACAGCTGGCAGACAGACAGGTGCATCTCGGGACGACACCTGACTCGGGGATGCTAGAATGGAAAGCTCACGGGAAAGGATGATGGGAGATGAGTTTAGGAAGTTAGTTCCAATGCTTTGTATGAAATATCCGAGTTTTCCCTTCATGAAAGCTGGTGACATCATTTGACTTGGATTTTCGGATGATAACTAACTTTGTAGGATTTTAAGACATAAAGTCAGACTAGAAAGCCTTCAAATGTTTGTAAGGGAGAGAAACAGCTCCACCACCACCCCCCCTTAAGATGTAAAGGTTACCTAATGACCTAATTATCAGACAGTCATATGTTGCCCTGTCCTCCCCTGGCTCAAGTCCAGAAAGCCCTCATGGCCCTGGGCTGCAGATAACACCACGTGGAGGAATGTGGAAGCCTCTGTTAGGTACCTCATTGTGCTATCAGGATAAGAGGGTTAATGACAGCACCAAGTGAGGCCTCTGCTTCAGACAAAGGGCGTGATGATGTATTGTTAGCACCCAGGGGGTTTTATGATGTGTGACTCAAATACAGTAACTTTGGAGAGGGGTATTCAAGTCTATGAAGTTCTCACAAAGCAAGGCAGGCTTTGCCAACAATCTCCCCGTCTTCCTGGGATCCTGAATCTTGGCAACAAGGGGCATAAAGGGCAACTGTAACCTGCACAGGGGTGTTTAGTTCCTGGTTCAGTCACACCGTTACTTGTCCAAGGATTAAACTTAGGCCATGGCAGTGAATTTGGAAAGGTGAAAGCATCTATTTAAGATACCTGAGAAGTAAAATTGAAACCACATGGTTAAATTTTGGAAGTAGGGGATTAAGGCAAGAAAATCCCTGACCCAAATAGCCACTATTTATGTGGCCGTGCTGGCTCCACGATTTAGCCAAGCAGGACATAGTCCAGATTTTAGTGACCGCAACGCTAACCCTGGGGATGGCAAACTACACCTATTTTTTGTGAATATAGGATCCCAGCCATTCTTATTAGCTCACATATTGTGTATGATTTATTTTACATTGTGGCTGTAGAGTGAGGCAGATGCAACGGAAACCTTTTGGTAGCTTATAGTATTCAAAGCTTAACGGTCTGACTATTTGGCCCTTACTATCAGTCAGAGAAAATTTGCCAACTCTTGACCTATCCCATGATCTGGGCTTCCTTTTTCAGTGTGTGGCCCACACAAGCAAATGTCATGTCTCCGGGTTCAGAGGAGGAAGTAAGGACCATTTCTACATTTATGAAGTAGGTGACCAAATAAAACGGGGACACAGGCTGCAGCAAAGATGCAGGTGGAAGTCAGAGAGTGGGCGTAAAGACGGTGATTTTTAAATATATCGAGCTTAAAATGTCTGTGGAATCTGAACATAGAGCGGTGCACTGAGAAGTTGGATATACAGCTCAAAGTTCATTATGAAAGTCATATTAGAAATAATCGTAAAACTGTAGTAAAACCCCCAGCTTGTGGTTAAAACCACAGTGTGTATAACATCATTTGAAAGAGGGAAGTGAAGCAAGAACAGAACAGCACAAAGGGGAATGTTCACACGACGAGTGGAACTGAACCCAGCGGTGCAGGGATTTTAGGAGTTCAGCGAACCACCGGAACAGTCCTATAGGAGAGAAGACATTAGGGGATTTCACAGGAGTAGGGAATCACCACCAGGTCAAATGCATCATTAGAAAGTTAAAGTAAGATTTTTCCCCCTTTAAAAACAAAAGCAAAACCAGGAAGCCAGTGAGAGGTATTAGTTTCTCTATGTACATGACACAGTAATTTAGGTCAGTTTAAACAGTGTTTAAACTTTTGTGTGCCAAGGAAGTAAAAAGACCTAGAAAATGTCCTGTACTTCCCAAGGAGAGTTGCCTACGGGGGGAATTGCATTTGAGAGCCGTCTCCTTTTCTTTTCTTTCTTTTCTTTTTTTTTTTTGCACAGTTTTTGACTGGGGCCCAGTTTGAACCCACCACCTCCAGTATATGGGGCTGGCGCCTACTCATTCAAGCCACAGGTGCCACCCAAGGGTTGTCTCCTTTTCAAATAAGAAACTCTAGCAATTTACTGTCCCCTGTTGCAAGAGGCAGAGATTGAAGGCAATGGTGAGA